TGTGGCCAATAGTGCCAATAAAATGAAAGAATGTGTGAACATTATGAGATGAGTTTCGACTCCTTTGTATAATAATGTCATTAATGTCTTATGATCACCCGTGGCTAGTACAAATAAGTGATAGTATGAACATGAACTGTGGCCGTTTGCCAAAATAAGAATCATGAGGCATTGTGTGTTCCAACGGTTTCAACTATAGTTATATGCTTCTGAAATAATGAATGTAAATTACTTCGATGTTAAGTCACCGAGAATTATGAACTTAGCTAGTGACCTTAAGATGACAAGGAGGTATATAATGAGGTGGAAAAGAGACGTCCTATGCTAAATGATGATGAACCTTAAGAAAAGAAATTGGGTCCATGTACCATTGAAATCTACTTAGTGATTTGCCATGCATGTGTTAATATAATGAGCTATGTTCCTCCATGGTGAGCATGAACATGAAGTGTTCAATTGATCCGGGAATTTACAACCTTAAAAGTAGCGTTAGTCATGTCGCTTGAGTTTATATATGGTTATGTGCATGATGATGTATTATGAACCCTATGGACGGTCTATGAAACACATAGGTGCATTGTGTATGGAATCCTATGGACGGTCTATGAAACACATAGGTATATTGTGTATGGAATCCTATGGACGGTCGATGAAACGCATAGGTATATTGTGTATGGAATCCTATGGACGTTCTATGAAACGCATAGGTATATTGTGTATGAAATCCTATGGACGGTCTATGAAATACATATGTATATTATGTATGGAATCCTACGGACGGTCTATGAAACACATAGGTGTATTGAGTATGAAATCCTATGGACGGTCTATGAAACGAATAGGTATATTATGTATGGAATCCTATGGACGGTCTATGAAACGCATAGGTGTATTGTGTATGAAATGTATAGGCGTAAAATAAGAGAGGGATATGGACGGTCTAGTGAGACGCATTATTAACGCAGACAATAGGTTCCACTTTCATTGGCCTTGTTTGTGTATGTTGTTTCAATTTCATTATATTATGTATTCCATGCATGGTTCATATGGCTCAGTTGATCCTAAAAGAAGTTTAGAATGATGCAAGTATAATAAGACTATTCTATGGGATGTTTCGTAGTTTCTTGATGTACTTTATTTGTCTCTTATTTGAGTTACCATATTTGCGTATGTCGTTCTGTCTGCCTTACATACGAGTACAATTCCACATGTACTCACGTCCCTTTTGCCGGGGGCGCTGCATCTTTTAATGGATGGAGGTGGTTCTATAGCAGGCGACATCGATCAGTTATAGCAGTACATCCTTCTCTTAGCTGACTTGGTGAGCCCCACTTCATATAAGGGTCATGTACCTTTTGTTTCTCATGTATTGTGTTTTGAGGTATAGCCGGGGCCTTATTACCGGCACTATCCTAGTACTCTTTTGTACCCCGTTAGAGGCTCTATAGACATATTGTGGGTTGTACGTTGGTATTGGGAAGGTCAAACTAAAGATGTTGTAATTGTATCACATGTTTTACTTCAAAACTATGGATGTTTAATGTAATATTTTGGGGATTTATAAATGAAGTAGCTAATAGTAATGGATATGTGTTGTATACATGATCTTCTTATTGTCTAATTAATGAAAATATATCTTCTCATTATTCATGGGTGAGTTTAGGTAGAAGAAAATCTAGCAGGCTTGCTCGGCAGGGTTATCCTGGTTGAGCGCCGGTCGCGCTCCCTGAGGTTGGGGCGTGACAGAAGCGGTGGTAATTCAGCTCCAGGTAGCAGTTTATCCAATGCGCCCAATTATCAATGATAAACTTAGTGTTTTGTTGCACTATTTTTGTTGTACTAAATGTCTGTAAAGGTTCAGTTTGCAATATTTCTGAAATAAAATTATGTTTCCAATAGGGTTAAATCTAATTGACATTTAGCATTGAAGATTCAATATAACAATTTATAATATTCCCCAAGAAATAAATAACAATTTTCATTCACCATTATTGTCACTGTCTGGTACTATTTCATTGTCATTGTCTTCATCTTCTTCATATAGTCCCTAAGAGCATGCAGGTAAGCTACATGTATACCATCAACGGGCAACCCGAAAAGAACCTCCACATCCTCTAGCGTGATGGTAGCCTCGCCGATGGGCAGATGAAACATGTGCGTCTCCGGTCGCCACCGCTCTATCATAGCCGTGATCAGCGCCCAGTCGAACTTCAACCGGTCGATCTCTATGATCCTGTAAAAACCCGTCCGCTGAAGGCGTCTAACTATACGGGAATGTAGTGGGTGATCCCTAATGAACTCCCACAGATCGTCTATACATTTGGGGTGGACGGTCTGGGACAGACACTGCCCATCCCAGATGTGTGAAGACCTATGGTTGCCTTGGAGCAACAGTAGCTCCCGAGATGCAGGCCCGGGATGCACATGGGAAAGCTCCATGACGATTTCTGTAAATTGAACAATATTAATTAAAGTATTTTTCTATTTAATCTTTTAACATCTTTAAATATATTGTAATATTTTTATATTAATATTTAATCGATAAATTTTCTATATTATTACTTAGGTTGATACATTTTCTATATTATTATTTTATATGTTAGTTTCTTACATTTTTGACTAAAATTCGGCAGGGTTTTGTTTGAACTATCATTGTTTTCAGCTATTTTTGGGTATAATAGAATTAAATAATTAATTTTTATAGCTATACATGATATAATTAATAAGTATTCATATAAAATTACTTAGGTTGCCAAATTTTCTATATTGTTGTTTTATATGTTATTTTTTTTTATATTTTTTGGCTAAAATTCGAGAGGATTTTTGTTTGAACTATCATCTTTTTTCTAGATATTTTTGGGGCTAATAGAGAATTAAATATTTAATTTCAATAACTAAAAAGATATTTTAGTAATTATTCATATAACAAATACTTAGGTTGATAAATTTCTATATTAATATTTCATATGTTAGTTTTTTATGTTTTTTTACTAAAATTTTACAGGGTTTTGTTTGAACTATCATCTTTTTAAAGTTTTTTTTTTGGGTTATAAGATAATTAAATATTAAATTTTCATAAGTAATCAAGATATATTCAATAATTATTCATATAAAAAATACTACAAACTTAATAGTAAATAATATTGAATTTATTTCATTCGTAACGATTTGTTTGTTAACTGTCATATTTTACCCAAATTTTCCGGCAGCATCTCTTTTGTAACGTCAACTGATTATTTTATGATTCACATTTAATATTTGATAATTATCTACTAATACATTAAATCCATAATTGAGTACTCTAACCGAGTTTGTTAAGGAGAGCACGTAGTTTTTATTCTGGACTACGAAAAATTAAAGAGCACTAAAGTCACACTACTCTAAATGACCATAAACAAAGTCAACTACTATACGCTAAAATTTATTATCAGTTTTACTACGCTAAAGGGCACTACATAACAATTAAAGGCACAACATAATACTAAATGGCACTAAACAACAATAAAGTCACATATTAATATACGTACAATACTAAAATCACATATAACAATACTTATTCAATAAAATAATAATATATATTTTTAATAATTTTTTAGCACATAAATAAACTAATCCGAATAAAAAATAAAAAAATTTAATTATATCACAAAACGATCACAAAAAATATACAACAAAGTAAAAACAACTAATAAGCACTTTATATACATGAGTTTTACCAAAAAGTAAGTCGGAATACCTTGATTTAAAGTTTTTTGAATTGTGAAAAATTGACGATTTGGGATCTGAAACGAGCAACAGATAAAATCCACTACACGACAACGCCTTGGATCCGGTGTTAGCTTGTTAAAATACGGAGAGGACAGGATTTTTGGGGGACGGGTGGGNTATATATAATATATATATATATATTGACCGTCATTTTAAAATTCAAATGTAGCGTATGTGTTCCATGCGCTATACCTTAACGGACCGCCATTTTAAAATTCAAATATAACGGTACGTTTGTCTGTTAAGGTATAGCGCATTCAACTCATGCGTTATATATAAATTGGTCATCAGTTGTTTTTTTTAAATCTATTTTTGTGCTTTGAGTCCACAAAAATAATATTTTGGTTCCTGTACGTACTTCTTTTGACAAAAAAAAAGCATTTACGAGTATATTTGTATTATGGTATATTTAAAACTAAAAAAGGTTATAAAAACGCAAACTTTATTCTGAATAATTTAAAAAATAAATGCCTGCATATTATCTTGAAAATTAAAAAGGTCGAGCACCACTCCTTTTGGTTGGAACTAGAGTTAAACCGCGGCAAGGGAAGGGGAAGAGAGCCAAGAGACATAGACTTGGGAACTCAAAACCAACCTTTTTCTAGCTTGTTTCTGCATATTACTTTTCTTTCTTTTTCGCTTTTCTATCTCTCATTCTCAATTATCACACGCACAAAACAAAGACAATAATAAAAAGTTGAAAGCTACAAGCATACCTCTTGTCCCTTTCTTAGCCACTCGTACTTATGGGTCTTTGTTTCAACTTTGACTTACTTGTTAAATTATTTTTAAGCATTTCTTTAAACACTTATAGTAAGGCTTTGCCTATTGGCTATTACCCTAAAAAGGTAGGAGAGACGATGCAATATTGCTTTTTGTTAATCTTCTTACTAGCTCCCGAACTTGAACAATTCCTTCTTTACCTACTCCGATCCTTTAATAATTCATTCTTCTAAAGATAAAAAAATAAATAAATATTTATCCATTATCAGGAAGGGCAAAGGATATACACCTTACCAATAATTTCCCTACCCTATACTATAGTAGTAAGTCCCCTTTTTAAAGCCCTAGAAATCAAACCCCAGTTGCCCACTCCCCAGACTTTGCTTTCTTTCTTAGTAATAACAAGTCACAAGACACTATTTTTACATATATTATATCTTTTTGCCAGTTGCCATCTATGATGGAGTCTTCTTTGTCAGTGAATGAATGGCTGTAAAGACCAAGTCAGTCTTCTACTTTTTACACTTCTGCAACTTTATCTGTCCTTCACTGCTATGCTCAAATCAGCCTCTCTCTCTCTCTCTCTCTCTCTCTCTCTGGGCGCTTTAGAAATAATGGATCTCTTTTATTGATTCTTGCTCCAAAGTTGATGTCTTTATCTTGGTTTCATTTTTAATTGCTCCTATATACATATTCCTCCCCAAAATCCAACACAGTCGTTTTCTTTTTCTTTCTTGGAGTTTTACAATTTTTTCATATCTTGATACGGCTATATTTGCTGCTTCCTACTTCTTTCTAGTAGCAATCAAACTAGAATTTCCGACCAAAAGAAAAGGAAACTGTCACCTTTTTTCTTAAACTTTTTGACTGTGTGAAGAACTTTGTCTTGCAAGAATCACTACTGTGGTTCTCCTCTTCAGTATCAGACTTTGCATATTTTGAAACTTAGAGTTAAGTATCTTTTCCCCCTTAAAAATCGTTCCTTTAGATTGGCATTTTATAACCTTCCTCTTCTTCTAACTTAATTAAGTCGGGGTCCTATAATATAATTTGAAACTTTCAGTAGTTAGAACATGACTTTAAGTGGAAACAGTTTAGATAAATCATTTTGCTATCGTTCTCTTTTAGCCTAGTGAATTATTGGATTTTGCATTTCAATTTATATCTGGAGGACTTGGCAGTTTTCTTTTCCCTTTTTAGATTTTGGTTGGTCCAGTCCAGTCCAGCAGATAAGCTACTTTAAATTCAATCATTAGACTCCAGCCGACAGTGGTTAAATTATTATTTGTAAAAAGTAAAAGTTGAGAAGTACATTATTGGTTAAGGGCGTGCTTAATTTACAGCTGAAATAGCTTTTCAAGATTCTCGTAATCCCTATTTTGACACGTATTGTTGTTATCTACAAGTTCCTTTTGGCTGCGGATTCTTCTTTTGTTTTATCAGTACTAAGAAAAGGTTTAGTTTTCTTAACTTGCTGGAGTTGCTTGACTAGATATTACTCCTTTTAATTGTGACGTAATTAGTTTGCTGTATATCTATTATCAGTGAAACCTGAAAATAAATCTCTTTTATAATATGGCAGTGGAGATGAATTTGTATTTCCACACCGTTGTTGGGTCATTTTAAATGTTTCCTCAATATTCTTTGAAGTAGGTGGATGAGCACGAAAAGGAAGTTTTGATTCTTGGCGTTAGGGACAAAGCTTAAATTGGATAAAGACACTTGTAACTTTGCAATTAGAGTGTGGTTAGTGGAAGGCAATTTTGATTAGCAATTTGAAGTCTTTTTATTGTGTGATCGATGGAATCATCCTCCTCATCTAAGAGGGCAAAAGCACCTGGCAATATTGCTCAAGTAGCTCATTGCTTGGTTGATGGATGTAATGCAGACCTCAGCCAATGCAGAGAGTATCACCGCCGCCATAAAGTTTGTGAGGTCCATTCAAAGACTGCCAAAGTCACGATTGGGGGTCGAGACCAACGTTTCTGTCAGCAATGCAGCAGGTAATGTCTTTATTTAAACAAGTCACAAGTTTAATGCATTCAAACAAGTCATACTTTTGATCACGAAAAGGAATCAGTATTCATTACAAAGGGCAGGTCCTCCTTAAGTTATCACTCAAACTAGCTAGTAAACAATTTTATGTCATAGAGTTTGTGACAAGGTTTGTTCACTTAAAATGCATGAGTTCTCATAAAGGCTGGAAACTGAGCATATTAATATGTTCAATCCCTGGACGACACATAAATTAGAAGAATCAAGTCTGTTTATTTGTGTCTTGATGGAATGATAATGTTCTTCTTTTTTCCACAGTTAGAATTGTGTTCTGACCTTGTTCTTGACCCTTAGTATGCCACATAGTTGGGAAGATGGTAACTCGAGAGTAGAAGGTATTGGAGATAGTGAGGTAAACTTTTAGTGCTAGGATTAACCCTGGTAAAAGAGACTCATGATCTTAGAATCCACTTGCCTCCAATTCTTTCTGCCAACTTGAAGATCAGCTTAAAAAGTTCTGGCATGTAAGAGGATTGCCGGTGTTTGACAAGTCAGAGATTTTTACTCTTTATGATGTGTGATTACTTAGCACAAATAATCTGCTTTGTCAGCAATATAGAATAGAAGTTGCTATTGAGTGTTGATTCTCTGCTTGTTTATTTTTCAGATAGTAACTTAGAAAGTTGAATCTCTGACTATAAGGTTCTGTATACATTTGTCCCATCCCTGATAAAATATATGATTGGAATTGATTTATGTTGCAGCGTTTATCTCGATCTGATGGTTCCTTTTGTAGGTTTCATTCCTTGGTAGAATTTGATGATGGTAAGAGAAGCTGTCGGAAACGTCTGGATGGACATAACAGGCGTCGAAGGAAACCTCAGCCTGATTCTATGGCCAAAACTTCTGGATTACTTTTTACTGGCCAGCAAGGTTAGGGTCATTCCTTAATAATCAGAATGCTTTTCTAAATAAAAGGAAACATGAGTGCCTTTTCCCACCTTATTCTTAGAAATTGGCTACCATTGGTATTACATACCCTTAGTTTTTTATGTTGATTCAAAGAAACCTCAACTGATTTATTTGTAGGGACGAAAGTTCTGTCATTTAGCAGTCAACAAATTTTTCCAAGTGCAGTTGTGAGCTCTGCATGGGCTGGCGTAGTCAAAACGGACAGCGACATGGTATTATACAACAATATAAATTGCATGGACAATCAAAACTCGTTCCCTGATTCTTCGGCTCGTAGTAGCTACAAAGGAGGAAATCAATTCCAGTTCATGCAAGGCAGTGAGCGTAGTCTCCCTGAAGCTTCAATCTGCCAGCCACTTGTTGATCATCCCAATTCTACAGCAGCAGTTCCTAGCAGCGGACAAAAGATCTTCTCCAGTGGATTGAACGAAATTGTGGACTCTGATCGTGCTCTCTCTCTTCTGTCATCAGCACCCGCTGTAACTAGGGAGATTGGTTTTAGTCACATGGTGCAGCAGCCTGCCTCTATCCCCCGGCCCCGGCCCCAGTCACAATCTGTCGTACATAGCCTGCACTATGGTGGTCTAAGCCAGTACCCTTTTGCTCAGGATTTCAATAGCCAACCTCAAGATTCTGCTGCAGATTCACATGTTAGCAACAGCAGCTCTCTGCATTTCCATGATATGTTACAAAATGCACCAGATGGATCATCTACAAGTGGTGGCTGTCAGCAAACACTAGCCTTTATGTGGGACTAAATAAAATCAAAATTTGGTCTCTGTTAACATCAAGAAAATTCCTTCCAAGCAAATGTTATTCCGATTAAGAATGTTTAGCTTCTAATTAGCGACATAATTTCTTCTCTAAAATGTCGTAAGATCCTATCATGAAGTTATTTGTGACAGGTTGACTTTTGTGTGAAATATGAGTTGACCATTCTATATTCCCTTCATTATGTTTCTCTCTTCTGGTGTACTTTTATTCTCTCTATTGAGATGCCGAATTTTGCATCCTATTCCATAAACTTTCTGAATATTTTAAAGCACCACCTCAAAGGAAGTCAGCTTGTGTCTTGCTAAGTGGCAAGTGCCAACCTTAGCCAATACTATCTCCAAAAACAAAGAAGATAAAGAAAATGATGAGGCTTGACTTTTAACAAGAAAAACTCCAGGACCACTTTTATCTGTTTAGGATTCTCTAACTTCCGATTAATATCTTTAGTATTACCGACATTTCTTGTTCTCTTTTCTGAAACTTCATTGGTACTCCTGCAATTACACCTGTCAACGGGTAAAATCGAGGATAGAGTTATCCCCGATTTCTCGTTGTGAAACGAGGAACGACGTTATCTGTTGCTGGCTCGGGTGAGCCCGAAGATATCCACAAATCTGAACCAAGAACGGACGAATGATATATAACGGGTCTCAAGTGCGGCCGAACCCGGAGGGAATCAAGCTCGAGTGAGATGAAGTATCGAGGGTGAAGGAAAGGCGGTTGAAGGAGACAAACGAAGAGCCGAAATATTTGCCATCAGCCGGATATTGCGGCGCGGATCATGCTCGGTATTGGCTGCGGACCTTATTTTAATAGGAAAGAAGGAAGGAAAAGATTTTTACTTCATTTAGACTTATACTAAGGTTAAATCTCCTCTACTATATAAAGAGGAGGATCCCTTCCTTTTTCGATCCCAATCACCACTATAGAAACTCTATATCGTAGGTGCACTGATAGGAGTAGGAGACGTACACAACGATGGCTGCTCAGAACGAGAAATATAAGCACTACCACCTAGAGTACCACTAGAAACCCGAAGTGCTGAATGGACTGGCCTGATAGGATGACCTCCAGAAGAGGAAGCACCAAAACCACCAAAATGACAAGGCCTCTTCTCTGACACCGCCTCTCTCCCCTGGCCATGAATACACTCAATACTTCAACCAATATCAATTACTTGAGAGAATGATGTCTCACTTTCGGCCTCTCTAGCCATCTCTAGTCTAATACCATAAGTAAGCCCCTCTATAAATCTGCGCACCTTCTCCCTCTTAGTAGGGGTCAAGATGGATGCACGGTGAGACAAATCAACAAACCTCATCTCATACTAAGTGACTATCACACCACTTCGCTAAAAACAATCAAACTGACTGCACAAATCATCTCTCTAAGTGAGCGGGATAAACTTCTCCAAACAAGCTGTGAAAACTAAGCGAAGTAAGAGGAGGTGACCCTGCTGGTCTGCACATCTCATAAGTCTTCCACCATAGCTTGGCCGAATTGCATATGGAAGACAGTGAAATTATCCCCATTGGACTCACCAAGACCTAAATTCTGCAAGATCTCATGACATCGATCCAAGAATTCCTGGGCATCATCTGAAAGAGCATCGCTAAAGTAATGAGGAAATAATTTCTAGAATCTATCCAACCTTTTCAGCTCATCAGCTGACATAGCGGGCCTAACTGCATGCTTCCCGAAGCACTGCGCAGCAATAAACCCCTTTGGAACCTAATGTAATGACATGACCTGTCGATTTGCGTATTTGAGCCCCGCTTCCCTATTTGATGCTTCTTGTATATGTGTTTGCTGTTGTATGAGTTGTAGGGATGGTTGCATTGGTCACAAGAAGGTTTGAGAGGGACTTAAGACACTAAGTCTCATTTTCGAAATTTAAATTGTAATAGTTGACCAAGGTTTGACCTTTGTGTGAACAGCCTCAGATTGGTGATTCGAGTGTACCAATAGGTTTGTATGGTGATTTTGGACTTGGACGTATGTCCAGATTTGTATTTGGATGTTCCTAGATTGATTTGGCTCTATTTAGCGAAAGTTAAAAATTTAAAGGTTTGGAAGGTTTATAGGTTTGACCGAGAGTTGACTTTGAGGCTATCAGGTTCGCATTGTTGTTCCAGGAGTGTGAATAGATTCATTATGTCATTTGAAACTTGTATGCAAAATTTGAGGTCATTCCAAATTGGTTAGATGTTTTTCAGTATGAGTTTGGAAGTTGAAAGTTTAAATAGTTCATTAAGCTTGAATTGTCCGTCGATTCTTGGTTTTGATGTTAGTAATGGTGTTTGGAGCAATTGAACAAGTTTGGATATTGTATTGGTACTTGTTGGGATGAATAGATGGGGTCCCTGGGGGCTCGAGTATGTTTTCGGGTGGTTTCAGATTATCTCTTCTTGGTTTTGGATTGCTGGTTTTCTCGTGTTCAACTGTGTTTCGTGATCGCAGAGAAGGGGAACTGGCAAGGGGAATTTTACTCTTTGTGTTCAGAATGGGTGTGTCGTGTTCGGGGGGAAAGGGGGATCTGAAGCATCGCGTTCGCGTGTAGAGATGCGCGTTCGTGTTGGTGTGGCGCCTTGCAGTGGAATTTCCTTCGCGTTCGCGTAGCTAGGCTCGCGTTCGTGTAGGCTAGGCAGGCTAGTGCTCTGCATTCTTGATTAGAGTCTCACATTCGCGATGAAGGGCAGCAACTGGGTCGGAATTTGGCCTTCGCGATAACAAAGGGGGTCCCGCGATCGTGAAGTGTATAACTAGGCAGTGCACTTAATGACAAAATTTTGGGATTTTGCCCATTCTCTAATATTTTGAACCCTAGACTTTGAGAGATGGAGATTTTGTAGAGCAAGTTCACTACTACTTTTGAGCTTGGCAATTTTTACTTGGATTTGACTTTATATCACGATTTTCATGGATATCACTAGTTAATGGATGATCATTAAATATAAATGATCAACGCTTGGATTATGAATTTGTCCTTCCGGAGTCAGGTGATTACCCATGTTACCTTGGTCCCCGTGACCGTAGGCACCCATGGTTCTTTTGGTGCTTGTTGCACAGTGATGTGAGTTGTTGCGAAAAGGATACGGAGCATGCATATTTATATTTGTTTAGACTCATTCTATAAATTGAAGTAAGTATTATTGAATGGTATCAAGTTTACTCGAGAATTAGGATAACTGTTATTTTATTTGATTCTGGTTATTTGAAAAGCATTCCTAAATTCCATATGAGTTGTATTTTGCGCTTTTATACTTGTTGATGATATCATATCTATATTTCTATTGGATTCTTCTCTCACCTTCTTATTTGACTGCTAGTGGTGTCTGAGTCGACCCTTCGCCATTACTTCTTCGTGGCTAAACTTGATACTTACTGGGTACCTTGATTTGTATGCATACTACGTTTCAGCACATTTCGTGTAGGTTATGAGCTTGGTGTGAGTGGTATTCATTTGGGACAATAGGTGGATCCGTTGAGACTTCATGATGAGCTTCTCTACCTGATCAATTCACAACACATGGAGTCCCCCTCCCTACTTTCCTCTTATGTCTATCTATTTTATTCAGATAAATAGTGTATTCTGATAATTTCTCACACTCTCATTAGATCTTGTGATGATTGTGACATCCGGTTTTGAGTGATGTTGGCTATTGTGGTCGTGTTTAGATCCTACCTCGGATATACTATCTATGATTCTCCGACTTGTGATTATTCTGTTTCCTTATTACATTGGGTATTTTGTTAAGGCTGAATTAACTTCTTTAGAGTTTTTTTTGTTATGGTGTTGTCTTTTCTAGTGATCGGGTTAGGCTCCATCACGACCTTTGGTGGCATTTTGGATCATGACAAGTTGGTATTAAAGCACCAGGTTCTAAGGGTCTGAAAAATCACAAGCAGACCTAGTAGAGTCTTGCAAATCAGTATGGAGATGTCTGTACTTGTATTCGAGAGGATATAGGGCTTTAGGAAGCTGATAACAACATGATAGGGGTCCAAGAAGTACTAAGGAAAATCAAGAAACATGCGGAAGCTAAAAGAAAATAAAGAAACAAAAAAGAAGACAAAAAATTAAAGATAGATTGAATTCAAAAAAGAGTTTCTTGAATTCAAGAAGTCTATTCTTGAAGTTGAATCCTAACAATAACAATTAGCTAACGAAGAACTAATCGCCTTTGATAGAGAATTAAAAATAAGAGATAGATTGTGAAACCCGATCCTTTAAAATAACAAGAACAACAATAAGCCTAAACTTATCATCTTTTATGAATACCTAGAAGTGATCTAAGATTTCAAATGTGGTTTAATATTACCACCTTAAATTGAGTCTTGAAGGTTGAACAATAAATCCAAGAGTAGCCACACACAAGAATGCAAGAAAAATTTTATAATTTGTATTGATAATAGTATGCAATAATCTAAGTCTAAAAACAAAGAAGACACCCCTTATATAGGTAGGAGGGGGTCACGCAATTAAGGCTAAAAACAAGGAAATAAAGTCCTAAACTACTTTGGACAAGAAGTCCAACTATCTTAGGTAAAGGAAAAACACTATGAAACAAAAACCAAGTCAATCTTGGAACGTAAACTCCAACAATCTTAGAAAAAGGAAAACATAATCTTAACTACATATGAAAGCAATAAATATAGTCCCAAAATATATGAAAATAAGTTAAAATCAATCTAGGATAGGATCTTGAAAGTCCCAAACCAATCATGGATAGAATCTTGGAAATCTTGAAGGAAATTTGCAAGCAACTTGGCACCAACTTGCACTCAAAATCTAACACGCCTATTGTATCCTTCTTGGACATAAAGTAAGTCCTTTTTATGTTATAAAAATGTAGTTTTATGTAGGACTTCATGGGCTGCAATTTTGGGCATATTTTAGGTGCCAAATTGGTCCAAAAATGGACTCATTAGGACCTTCTTCAAAGGATGTCTATTGGGATCCAATACTCCTCTTCTTGGACATAAATTTTGGCCATAAAACAACAATTGTAACACCTAGCCAATTCACATCCTTTATTTTTGAGTTCTTCCTCCCAATTAACAACTTCTTTATTTGTACTTGAAGTCTAATGACCTTATTTTGTACTACCTCCGTTCTAGTTTATGTGAACCTATTTCCTTTTTGGTCCATTAAAAAAAGAATGACCCATTTCTAAA